TGTCCAGTTTTAGGGTCTTACACAGAATTAAACCAAACAACATGAATCAAACATGCAATTTATTTATTTCCACTAAATAACAAAAGTACATCAAATCGGATTGAAGCTAAGGGCATACAAAACTGTCTAACAGGAACCTCCTTTTCAGCTTCATCTCTCACTTTCTCACTTTCTTTCCACATTCACTTAAAATTTCTAGTATTTGTGCATTTTCCATGGCCTTGATTTTTTTAGTAATAGTTACGCAGCCCTATACCAGTTCTTGTTATCGTATCTACATGTTTTTTGGGTCAACAGTGTTTTAAGAGTACGAAGTGCAACTAAAGTACAAGGGATTCCTAGAGCCTGAGGCATGGGGCATATGCTGAACAAAGCAAAGCACTACTTTTGAAGAAAAGTAAAAGAAAATGTTGACATACAGACATGTACAATTCTAAATTTGAAAGAAGAAAATAAATTCAAAAGGTTTATTCAGTCATTTGGTCAGAGCATGGAGTATTAACATGAAGGTTGTAGTCTCCCACGTTTCTTTTTTTTTTTTTCTCTTTTTTGTATTATAGCCTCCTAAGTTCAAGTCCACAGACTTAAGTCAGCTATTCGATCCTTCCTTTTTTGTATGGCCTACAAAAAAAGGAAAAAATGATGTGGAGATGTATTAGAGCTGCCGCCTTATGGACAATCTGGGAAGAAAGGAATGCAAGGCTGTTCAAGGAAAAGGAAAGAAGCATTCAGGCAGTTGAGGATTGTATCTTGACTAGGGTCATTCACTGGTTGAAAACAATGGACTTCTTTCATACTTTTTCCTTTGATGATTATTTGGAGAAACTAGATAGCGGTGGCTAACAGCCATACAAGGAAGGACAGGGAATCTGCAGTGTGGATCCCTCCGCCTGAAGGATGGGTAAAGCTGAACTTTGATGGCAGCAGCCCTGGAAACCCAGGCCCATTGGGGATAGGAGGGGTGCTGAGAGATACGGAGAGAAGCATCTTAGCCTTGTTTTCAGGCCCCGTGGGAATAGGAGACTAATAGAGCTGAAATTTTAGCGGCGGTACAAGGTATTCAGATTGCAGAACAACTAGGAGTTCAGCGATTGGTAGTTGAAGGAGACTGTAAGAATGTTGTGGGATGGTTGACAGACCCAGTTTCAGCTATATGTGGCGACACAGAGATTTATTGAGGAAAGTCAACTGGCTCACAAGAAACATGACTGTTACCTCTCTTTGGGTGGGAAGATCAGCAAATACCTTGGCGGATAGGTTAGCTAAGCAGGGGGCTTCAAGGGAACATTTATTTTGGGCTGCTCTGTAATTTTACTTCAGGATATTTCTGTTTTAATTTGATGTAATACTTTATTAGAAGAGGTAACAGCTCGTGCCTCTTTTTGGGTTTCCTGTATTGCCTTGTTATTTCTGGATTAATAAATTATTTTCATTCATCAAAAAAAGGTTAAACTGTTAGACTTTAAAACATCATAACTATGACCTATGGTATAGTAAATTACTATTCAAAAAACTAGCAACATGATGAATCTCACCTGTGAGCCCAAGTGCACCTTTTAAAAAACCGGATTAACATGGTTATGAAAATGAGCATGTGCCTCAATCAAAATTTGCAACCTTTTGATAAGTAATCTCAGAGATCGTCATTCTTCTTTTAATACTTGTACGGACTTTTTTCCTAAGTCTGGACTTTCTGCATCTGTGGGTTTAAGTACCAAGATACCTGGAATAATAAGCTGATTTGAATTTTGGTTGTTCAATCAGGTAGAGGCTCTCTCATCTGAGAAAGCGACATTGTTGTTCAGGATCGAGGTATCACATTTTTCAAAAAGTTAATAGTACACATATATTGTAACTAGAGAGGTTCTACATCAAGGATATACTGATGATTTATCATCATAATGCAGACAATTTCAAGATTGCTTGATGAAAACAAGTCGACATTGCAGTTGACTGATTTAGCCGGCCCCTCAGCCAATAACGACTTAGAAGCAGGGACTTGGGAACTCTCTAATTCAAAGCTGAAGCCCCTGCTTAAGGATAGAATCCGATCTGGAGGAGAGAAATTTGGGTCATTGCTTTGGCAGTTGGATGCTGTCTTTTCTGCAGGTGCTGCATTCTTAAGGAGGAACTCAATTGCAAAAGTGTGGTCATTGGTTTACCTTTTATGCCTTCATTTCTGGGTTGTGTATATTCTCATGTCACATTCTCAACCATCAGAGGACGCCACATCTGGTGCCGTTATCTCCTTGGGGAGCATCAATAAGACGGCAGGAATCTGATATATCAATTAATTACTAATTTGCTATGTTATTCATTTCTTCTGCATCAGTTCCTATTAGGTGAACTTGTGCTGATTATTCCTTTGCTAAAGAGCATTAAAAATGTGAAAAGAAAAAGAATCAAGAACAGACAGGCTCTGTACGTATTAGTGCTATGTTTTTGGGTGGTCCCTTTGACCATCATTTTTTCAGAGATAAATTGAAATTTCATAGAAAATAAAGTTCGCCCAGGGGCGGGTTGGTGTGAAATTACTTCTGTATATATAAAGACATTTGTGGCCATAATTTATCTATTTTTTGGTTCAAACTTTCAATTTCAACTAAAACTGAATCACTGTATTATTTATATTAACTTGAGAATAATGCACAAGTGAAAAACAAATGCGTGGAAAGAAGCGAAGACTGAGTGAGCTCTCCAAAGAAGATAGTCGTCGTTTGTGAGCTTCAGTGGCAATAAATAAGGTTTTGCTGGGATTTACAAAATGATAAGATGCAAAGATAAGATACAAGAACCAAGATAGACCGGAACTGTTTAGTCATGTGTTATCAGATCCAACTAATAGAGAATTGCAGTATGGACAGCAGAGCGTATCAAAACCCTCTGGTCATGTCTTAGAAGAAGAAAGTAAACATCTTAACCATGGTTTTTAAAACCGACCTGGAGACCGAACCGGTCAGAGGTCCGGTTACCAGGTTGAAGGGTCCGACTGTTCGAACCGAATGGTCGGCCATTCTGACAAAAAAATAAAAAATTAAAAAAAAAATGAAAACTGGTCAAAATTGTTCAAACGGTTTGAACGGTTAACTGTCCGGGTCAGCGGTTTGTTGACCAAAATCAATGGTTTTTATGGAAAATTCGGTTTTGGAGAAAATCGGAACCAGTCACCTGACCGCTCCCAGTTTTTCTGGTCTGATCGTCTGGTCCGGTCTGGTTTTGAAAACCATGATCTTAACTTGATCAAGGCAAATTGGTTTACACTTGCCGTGCTACTTGCAAATTTGGACTCTTAATGGGTCACCCTTAATCATAACAGTGAAATTTGAAAAGTAGGTCTTTGCCATGTTAAGAAAGGTAGCTAGAATACAAGGCCAAACCAGTTATATTTCTTGGGGTCCACAGAAAGGTTTACTTAGTTGCAATCAAGCCCAACCAGCGGAAGATCCTCGCCCGTCAAGCTCTAGGTATGTTCGTCGGTCCATGTCCAACTTTAGCCATGACTCATGCTTCACTACACTCTCAAATGAATGCTAATACATTGCTAATCAATTTACTCCATCTTTTTGATTTTAGAATTGAACCATCCGTCAGCTTTTGGCATATGAGCATATCATATATTGTTCCATGCGGAATATGTAACTATGGTCATTGTCTTAGGCCATGTTTGGGAGTGCTTATTGATGTGGGCGCACATGGCAAGGCCCAGAATCGCATCACGTGGCATCGGTCGGATGAGATCCTGGCCGTTCACCTCTAACTGCCTCCAACTACTTCATGGCAAGGTCAAGTATAAAAGGAGGTGCCTAGCTCAAGGTAAACGCAAATCCATATTGCTCACTCTTTCTCTCTTGCATTTTTGCTCTCGAGTGACCTCGTTTGAGCCCTCGTCTCAAGCCTGGTCTGACCTCTCCTAATCACTTGACTAACTTGACCATCGAAGTCTCCATCCCTGGGATAACACCCGGAGCCTCTGATGTGTGCCCTCGGCCCCATCCTTGGCAGCAACACTATGTTAAAAATAAATGCTTAAAAACAAGTGCTTATTCGAATAAGCACTTATTTGCATTTGGCATCCAACTTTTTAAGTGCTTATTTTCTTTTAAACAAGCACTTACTTCATATTGGATGTTTGGTAGTCTTTTCTCCAATAAGCACTTGAATAAACATTAATGACTATTTCGTCATTCATTTTCTTTCAAATTTTCAAAGCATATCCTTATGAAAATACTTTTATAAAAGCACTTTTATAAAAGTACTTTTGTGGAAGTACTACTATAAGATCACTTTTATGAAAGAACTTTTACGAAAGTACTTTTGTGAAAGTATTTTTATAAAAATACTTTTACAAAAGCACTTTTATATAAGTACTTTTTTAAAATTAAACTAGGGATAATTTTATAAGTGGTACTTTAAAATTCAACTAGGGATAATTTTGGAAAAAAAATGAATAAGTGCTTATACAAAAAGCTGAAAATTTGAGCTTAAAAAATAAGCCATTGTTTTTAAAATAAGCACTTTGGGCTTATTTCCCAAATACCAATAAGTGCATAGTGGTGTGGTCCCAACCGAAATAAGCACTTGTTTTTAAGCACTCTCAAACATGGCCTTAATGTTAATAATCAGTACTCTCCTAGTCTCCTAGTCCCCCCGGCCCCCCCTTGTCCATGATCAAACATTTAAATCCCAATAAATAACCTTCTTAATTTTACTATTGCCACCCGTCACTCTTTTGAAACATTTAGCAGTTGAAGTGGTTTAGTTCAAGGTTCAAAGTCACGTATCGGCCTGTATTGGCCGATACGTATCATTCTGGGACCCCTCCAATATGCCCCTATAGTGGGTGTTATCGGAGGTCTGACCGGTTCAGGGGGTAGAGGAGACCTAAACCGCCCCCCCTGAATTGGTTGCGAAAAAAAATAAAAAAAAAACAGCTCCAAAATGTGTATCGATTCGCCCGATACGTCCCTATCAATGTATCGAGCATATCGATATTTTGAACCTTGGTTTAGTTTGATTCTTTCTACTTTCTATTATTATCAGACCAAAATATAAAGGTGAACCACATTTTTGCCTCACATATGCAACCATCCGGCGGAACTCACTGCCTTGGATGACACGAGGTATGTGGCATTCGGCTCGACCATATTTTCCTCTTCTGAATCTTAATTCAAAACTGTGTTATAACTTATAACATAACTCAGATCGATACAATGAATGATAATCCTATTTTGAGTAATTTTTTCCTTGTTTTTTTATGTTTTCTTGTTTCAAGAATATCTTCTTCATATTTTCAATCTCATATGCACGTGCCCGGTGCCCCTCAACTGGTATATATATATATATATATATATATATATATATATATATATATATCACCTGTACTTTGGGCCTAATGCCATTTTGGTCCCCGAATTTTAAAATGCAAAAATTCAATACCTGACTTTTAAAAGCGTGTCAATTTAGTATTTGCCATTAACAACCATTAAGTGGCATTTGAAAGGATACAAATACCCTTCAAGTGTCATTTAATTCTCTTTATCAATCATCTAAACGTTGATAAAAAATGAACAGTCCCAAATCCTTACCTGTTCTATTCAAGAAAGTTGGTGTCACGTCTCAATAGACATTTTGGTAACCCCAACTTTCTTGAATAGAAGAGACGAATTTGTATCTTTTCAAATGCCACTTAACAGTTGGTTAACGACAGGTACTAGATTGGCACATTTTGAAGGTTCAGGTACTAAATTGTCGTGTTTTAAAGTTTGGGGACCAAAGTGGCACTAGGCCCAAGTACAAGGTTCTAATCGGGAATTTTCCCAAAAAGAAATTGAGTCAATTGCTCTATCTCTTGGACAGCTGGTCAGTTACTCTTTAGATGATAAGCTTGAGTGTAACAATTAAATTAAAAACTTGGCAAACATGAAAAACAAATGAAACCCTATATTCAAAGTTTTGCAATCAAGGTTCAAAGTACCGATATGATACATGTGATACAGATGTAAGGTGCATCGTATCGGTATCCAAGGGGACTGATATAGGTGGAATGGTCCTATTTAACACCATCTCTTTCCTGCCCATATGTATCTATCGTCTGTATCAGTTGGTATCAACTGATGCTACCGATCATATAGGTCTGTGTTAGTTCACATCGACCTATACAAACCATATTTTATAAATTCAAATTTTAATGTTTATTAATTGTCATTCAACCCATTAAATCCCACTTCTCATTAATGTGCATTTAATAACTTTTTATGCCCCATTATTTGTTGTCCTTCTGGATTTCAAATTTATGAACTTGCATATAACATATATCTTAGAAATTGTAACGAATTTAATCTATTTTTTAAACTAAGATTATATATTTCTATAAAATTACTAATTAATATTTTAGTTTAAAATAAATACAATATTTATTATTTACAGAAATAACAATATTGTTTATAAAATATTAAAAATTTTAAGATTAATTTGACATACAAAAGTAAAAATAATAAAATAGAAAATAATTGTTTTTGTAATTAAAAAACAATAGTTGCATATGATTTGTCTCTTGGATCATCTATATTCTCATGAATATAAAATTTTATAGATTAATTTATATTTATGATATAATTATTAATTAATAATTTATTTTAAATAAATAATAATATATTACTAATGTAGTAATTTATAAAAATCTATATTATATATCTCTTGGACTCTTGATTGATGCATTATCAGTAAAGTTGTATGATATCCACATATATACATTGTAATGTATTATTCATATAAATTATGAAAGTGTGCATTACTTGTGTATTTATACCTTATTCATAGTTATTTCAACCTTAGATTTAGTATATTATTTTTGCATCTGTAATATGTTTTGGAGTTTTCCTGACAAATCCAAGTGTATCCTTATCTTTCCACCATAATCCATGTGTGTCTAAGGACTATAACAATATGTATACGATATGCAATACAGACATTTTGAACCTTGTTTGCAATGCACCATCAATATCTTAAATGAATTAGCTGGACCAAGACAGGGCATGTGATTCTCTCTTAAATGATTTCATTTTTCATGTACCCCAAATAAATATTTTTCTACCCTTTCACAATCAGAAAAAACAAAAACTACTCATTAATTATAAGATTCCATAATCATGCAGAATGTTAAAACCATATAATTACAATGTCAATCCCAACAAAATAACCTTCTGAATGGGAGATCTTCAAGGTTACCTCCCCTCTCATGTACCTACATTCCCACGCAAGTAACTAAACAGTCTAAACAGCCATTCACATTCAAGGTAATTAGAAATTTGAGGCCTATGGACAGACCCAACATTCTTGACACAAGAGGAAACTGAATTTTAAGTAGATAGAATTGATAAACAGGAAACCAGTAGCATCAGAACCAATAGACATCAAAATGAGAAGATTGTAGTATCGAGCAGGATTTTCTACCGGTTCACCAAACCTTCCGTAAAATCCAAAGGGCTTATCAAGTGATTAACCCATCTTCAATCCCTTGTCATCTCTCAGACTTTTTCTACACCTTGCACAGACATCAAGTGCCTTAAGATACTCAAGTCGTTACAATGGATGAAAAACAGAATTTGGCCTACCAATTATAGAAAATGAACTTGCAGCTTATTTCACAATCTTAATATTGTAATACAACATCAGATTCATATAAAAGGAATGCATCTTGCACCCCTACATTGAGTAACCTAGTGCCATGAAACTTGGATACTTTAGTGCATTAGTGAATCCTCAAATGTCACTGACAAGATATCAATATTACACCTGATACAGGCATACGTCTAGATATTTTCTCCTGTGTTTTACCAGCTATAGCTGTTATTCATTTCAAACTTCCCTATTTTGTCAGCAAGAACTGTTGGATATGCTGCTATTGTAAATCTCACTAAAGGAAACTTTTTAAAATAATACAAGTGCCATATCACTTGGCATGACGCAATTATTAAGAAAGATGGCCTAGAAAAAATGTAGAATTGGCATATTAGATAGGACACTTTTATCTGTATTCTTATGACTTTCCGGTATGCGCCCATATCCATATTCTTACATGGGAATTCAGGTATGATGCTTGTCCCAGTTTCCCACAAAAAAAAGGAATATACCCTTGCAGACTACAAATTTTTAAATGAAGTACATGTCTATAGACAGAAAGGATGTCACCAGCAGGATTGTACTAAATAACAAATACAAGTACAGCTGTATACAATTATAAAAAAAATTACTATGGTATAGGTTGAAAATGTGATTACAAAAGCAAAAATTTTCATAGAAAGAACATAAAAATACAAACCAGAATACCCAAAAATACACAATTTAATAGTCAGGCGGAGATGCAAAGCAAACCAGTACCTTAGCTACTAAAACACTTAGAATAACATTAGACAACTGATTTATACAATGAACAAAATAACAGCATGATACAACCAATGCTCTCCCAAAATGCCAAGTGGAAAGAATGATAGTTCCAATATCTTCGCTCCAGAGAGATATGCAGGGCATGAAAACACGAATGACCAAGGTCTTTCTCCTGTGGTAAATGGTGTGACTTATGAAAGTCAACTTTGCAATTTTCCTTGGCATTGGACATGGAACTATTTTCTGAGTAGGTTTCCCTTGTAGCTCTGAAAGAATAAGGAAATTTTTTTTGGGATGGATTCAATATATCAAAATAAAATATTTTTTGCTATTTGATTTATGAATTATGATTCAAAATACAGAAGAGAGTTAGATAGTCAGACCATATTCCACGAAAATACATCAAATGGAAATGTGGAAAAGTGGATTATACATGACAATGATTTAGACCTGAATGTGGTGTTGCAGTGCAAGTTCGTGCCCAGGATACATAAGAAATGTTTGCCATGAATAGTAGCCTTACCAGTTGGATCTTTCTTCTTGAGGAAGATTTCGACTGTAGAGAGGAAACTCAAAAAGAAAAGTGCCTTTGAACCATGCAGGCAAAGACCCGTAAACAGCCGGGGGCAAAGGAATAAGGGGGCTGTGACACAAAATATTAGCATCAGCTACCTAGTTTTCCAAGTTCCAGCCACATATAAATCACAATAAAATAGGATAAGTCAAGATTGACCTAGTTGTTTTTTTATACATCCTGTATTCAGCCAAATTGCCATATTTCTTATCTGCTGATTCCTGATTCCATACATGTTTTACAATCATGTTATAATTTCGTCAGCTGGCTGTCAAAATATGTAATAGAATTGAAGGCAACAAAAAACACAAACCTCGAGCAATGGTATGCCACTGACAAAAAAAAGCAACAGAGTAAGAAAGATTGGCCCCAGAATGACAAGCCATTCTGCCCCTTCCAATACAGGTGTGGAAGCCACAAAGATTCCCCACCAAAGAAAAATCTGTTCATTATTAATACAAACAAATTTTAAAACCATACGATTCACATAAAATGTAAAAACAGTTAATACCATAAGAATATCTGTATATCATTCATCTAAATGGTTGATATGCTAATATCACATAAAGAATAAGTCAACCTATTAGAATCCTTCAAAAATCAAAATCAACTTTTTAACAATCTCACATGATTTGGTAACAAATGGAAAATGACCAATTCAACTACTGCTGAGAATTTAAGAATAATTTCCGTGGGCTACCATACCAATTTCCATGAGTGAAAAAGGGAACCTGAACGACAACTATCTAAATAAAGGTTCTCAATGAAAAAAAATGTAGACCTGAATAATATTAGTGGGTTAGTGTGTTTTTTCTGTACAAGTCCTGCAACTCATTCCATCTTCAGTTAATACTTAATAGAGGATTGAGGACAGCATCAGACCACGGTTAAGAAAATTACCTCACCAAAGTAGTTTGGATGGCGAGAGAATCTCCAGAGCCCAATGTTGCACCACTTCCCTCTGTTGTTAGGAGAGTTCTTGAATGACAGTTTTTGCTGATCTGATGTGGCTTCAGCAGTAAAGCCCACAGACCATATAATCCACCCAATAATATCTTCAGCCTGAAGTGATGGATCCCTGTCACTTGCATTAACAACTGTTACTGGTAGACTCACAGTCCATACCCAAACAGCCTGCCATAAATGAATATTATGTTAAGGACAAACTTTAATCCAGTCTTATGGAACATTATAAATCAGGAAATAAGCTTTTAAAAACTAGATATCCATATAAACCTCAAAGGTTAGCTAGATATTTCTGTAATTAAATCAGATACAAACTAGGAAAAACCTGAAATATCCAGAAAACTGCCAATTTGCCCAAATTGGAACGCATTTCATCAAAACGTTGATCTTCTCCCCACTGCAAAATCCTGTTTTGAACAAGAATATATAGGAAATGTCAATGCAGTGTTTTTTTTTCTCAATATGAGAATGCTCATTTGTGAGCTGAGCCAAGGACCTTAAAAAGGATCAAAGACTAAAGCATTATTGAGATACACATGCGAGGTGGAAAATTTCCAACCATCCTGATATGCATCAATCATAAAGAATGATGTCATAACTAGATGTAAATGTATGCTCATACTCTTGCATGCATATACATACACTTGAAAACTTGCACACAAAGTTTTATCAAATAAACAAGAAAGGAAAATTACATCCAGCTTTGATCATGAGGGGGAGCTATGCCCTAAATATTGTACATAAAGAAATAGTCTATTTCCAGATGCATATGCAATTGGACTGAAACTCTGTCCTTTCTTATAATTTATCTGTCCAAACTTTATAAACAGCAACCCATGGGAGACAAAATGGAAACCATGTAATCAACATTCAAAATCTCTTGGTGTACCAGAGTGGCAGAGCTATGGCTTCATGAAGAACCTATACACCTTCAGTGTCATAGACTTTGAACTTGTCTTGCATTTCTAGTCTCAAGCCTAGCCCTGGATAAAGGAGGTGGGTTGTGTCAGGTTGGCAGTTGGAAATAAAACTTTTGCCAAACTCTTGGACCAAAAAGGTATTGGGTTGTAGTAAGAAATGATTTAAGGACCCATAAATTAACAACAGATATGGTACTGAACCAAACAGAATGACAGAACATGATTCATGTAGCTAACCCTATATATATATATATATACAAGTTTTCATTAAAAAAAGGAAATTATCTGTAAATTTTGGAGGTGAGAAATGATATGCTGATGCATTTATGTTTTTGAGTAGGCTCGAAATTGTAATAGCAATCATGTAACCAATCCAATTGGTTGGGACTTTGGACCAGCGTTTTAAAACCCAACCTGTAGGCTGAACCATTTTGCTTCCAGATTGCAGATCAGACTGTGATACGTCATCCTATATGTGTGTGTATATTATTTTAGGTGTAATTTATGTTTTCATTTCATTTTTTAATATTTTTATAAATAAAAAAGCCAAAATGGGGATTTGAGACAAAAAAAGGCATATTTGTTGGAAAAAATAGTAGGGTTGGAACTTGGAATGCGCACATCTCAAAAAAGTTACCCAAAATAAAAACATCATCCAATCAGACAACCAAGTGCAAAGTTATGGCCTCCAGAAGTTTTGATATGCATGTAGTGTGTAACCCATGACCCAGTGACCAGGTCGAACGGGTCAACAATTCAACTATCCAGGCAGATGGATTTTGACCAAGCCAACGGTTTTTGTCAATTCCCGGGTTTTACAAAAACTGGACCCAGAAAAGGGGTTGGGTGACAGTTCGAACCGTTAGACCATCCAAGTCAATGATGGGTTGAAAACAATAGTTGGGACAGAGCTTGGACGATTACAACACGATGATAGCCATACATGTTAACATATTATGGAAGAGGGCACAATGGATATTTGACAGACGAAAACTAATGCATTTGGAGAACCTATAGAAGCTTATTAAGCAAAAGATATGAGAAAATAAAATATCATTAAAATACAAATAACAACTGTAAGGAAGAAGTAGGTGATTGAAAACTTCCATGAAAAGAAGCATTTAATTAAATCCCTTCATCTGGTTAGGTTAGGTAACTAGCTCCATCTATCATTATTCAGGAAATGATATAAGACTTGTTAATACTTTCATGTGCAATGACCTCAGCTGCTATGCCAATGAGAATGTTTGATCAGTATAATATTTGATGAAAATTGGTATGTTTTACCAGGAAGCAAGACCATTCATATTTAAACAAATAATAGGTGTTTTTTTACAAGTAAATTATATCTCATGTATAATATAGAAATGATTAAAAGGAGTAGAAAGATGTACGTAAATTCAAAGTACTCCCATGTTCATACCTCATTAATAGAAATAGTCCTAGGCGAAGACCCCATATTACCACAAGCAAGGTCAAGACTACCTGAAAAATAGAATTACACACGAGATATATGAAAGAATTGTGCATTAAAAGTAATAACTAAATGTTGGATGAGTGTACCATAATTATGAGTGGATCAGTTTTTAGAACAGTGGAGGAATTTGACTCAAAGTTGGGGTTCAACTACCCCAGATTTTACCAAGTTAGCTAGCATCTTTTCAAATAAATAACAACAAAGGCAGATTAATTTCCCAACTCCCACCTAGAACATAAACAATTTGCAGATTGAGCAAGATTCAGATCTGGTCATTAACTGTGAAAAGATGAGCTTATACCACTAGGCCAGTACAACAAAATATTTTTAGGCCATGGGCATGTGCACACTTGGAAAGTTAAATGGAATTCAACCGCCTGATAGACTTTACTTTTTGGAGTCACTAATCCTTTGACCCCTGCCCAAATAATGAACCTAAATAGTAAGTTCTAACCATGAAATAAAAATATGAGGATTTTCCTTTTCCTTTTCCCTTATTCTGATTGATACAAAGAGACAAGGAAAATGATAACCTCTAAAATAGATTAAAAACATTAATCATGGACAGGGTTTGTAGTTGGTAGGCAATTACAAGATGCACAATCATCACATAATTGATGAGATAGATAGAAACTCAGCATTTAAGTATTTAACTGATCAATAATTTAGACAGAACTCGATAATTCTTCCAAATCTAAAGAAGACAGAATAATGCAGTAGCATTGTCCCTTGCAAAACCCATAAAAGCAAAAAGCTTTAACATAATTAGGACCATTAGAGATGGATATGTAGTGTGTTGTATGATCCATAAATATAGGCTACACAGATGCAAATTAAGGTTCAAGCAGATAGCTTCAGTTCTATTACACCTCGACTACTATCAGCAGAACTAAAGTGACTGGAACAGAAGCTACATAAAAATTGGCACTACCAAAGGAAGAAAATATACCTGCCTAAAATGCCATGATCCTTTCAAAATAAGAGTCAATACAGAAAGTATAATGAAGTTGGTGCTACCTGCAGAAAACACCAGACCCAAAATCAGAAATAAGGAATCAACAGACATTTTAAATGCAAAACTACAAAACCATACCAATGTGGACTATGGAGTATAAGTGCGGATACCCATATTACCATGATTACTTTTCGTTTTGTGATTATTAAACGTAAACAGTTCTATGTTACCTAAACAACTTAAATTCCATTACAGAAATTTTCTAAACATAATGTCTAATAACATTAGAAATCAATTCAGCACTGGTGTTAATTCCATCACAATTATATAAAAAATTGTTCATTTATTAATCTAAGCTCCATTTTATTTTGAATTTTCCATTTGAAGTGGACTTGGACACACAATTGAAACCGACATTCGATGCCAACAGCTAATTTTCTAGTGACTCAACTTATGAACAAGAAAAAGATTGGGAAGTGGGGATAGGATTTTCTTTTCTGCACAATACACGGCTGTTTCTGAATTATGAAAATCATTAAAGTGGTTTCCTCCCACGTACTGAATTATAGCAGCAGATAAGATAAGAGAAATACCCAGCGAATATATCCAATAACCAAGGTTCACGATACAAAGAACAAAAAGGAGAAAGAATAGTTGTCAAGGAAAAAAAAAGTAGGAAATTAAGCAACAAATCAACTGAAAAATAGAAAGAATTGTAAGAATATATTACCAGCAAAGTCTGTGACTTTGTCGAACTTGAGAAGAGCGGTGATTACGAAGAAGAAGAACTGATAACCCACCTACAAAAGCACCCCCCCCCCCAAAAAAAAAAAAAAAAAAAGAAAAAGAAAAAGTCATCATTGATGGAGAAGAAGAGCATTGAAGTAACAGAAAGAAAGAGAAGACGTGTATTACAGTGACAAGCGCTGTGAGTGCTAAGAAGTGGGAATCGAGAACAGTTCCCATTATCCACTGTTGCTACAAACTAAATTCGAAGTTTCTTTCCTCGCTCGCTTTGTCTCTGGCAGTTTCGATCTCTGATTGTTTTTTCCAGCCTTTCCTTATACTTTCACCGGTCAAGTGCTTCTTTTTCTTAATTTCATGTGGACAGAATTTGAACACCGAAACTCTGGATGAAGCCAAAGGCAGAGTGCTGATTTTTGGTGTAGGCCCTCCTTAGTCAAACCCATAAGTTCGCATCCTGTGAAAACGGAGTTCACATCTGCGTCCGACAACGTCATACAACACATCCCCGCCGTGTAATTTCATCGAGAGATGTTTTCAATACAGGGCGGGGATGTGTTGTGGGACGTTGTGGGGCGCAAATTTGAACTCGTGAACACATAGGTTCACGGATCCACCAGTGCATTTTCATTCTTAAAAAAAATGTATTGGCGGTTATAAACTGTCGGCCTAGGTCTTTGAAAATCGTTGGCATAGATGTTTACCGGTAAATGACCGGCAATTAATACCTGTTGGTATACGTTATTATATTAATCCGCTAATAAACATTTATGGTGGTAATTTGTAAACTTAGGTGGCGATTTATGGCCGTTGGTATAGAATTTCTTTAAAGAATAAAAATGAACAAGATGGGATATGATAATTTTTCATGCTGCAGGTTATTTTAATTTTTATGCTATTTACTAATTTTTCATTCTGAAAAGAATGAAACCCATGACAAGAATTTTTTAACTAGACACTAAAAAAAAATGACAAGAATTCTTTATTTATTCATTATTGCCCATTCTTGACTAGAATGAGCAAACATTAAAAAAAATGAGTCATAGAGCAGTGAACCAAATATGACCTTAATTGTTCATTAAAAACTAGACTAATTATTAAAACTTAGACTAAAGGATCGGTTTGGTTATAAACTCTAGTTTGGTTCGATTTGATTGGAAAAGATGGTCAAACCAAATAATTGGTTAGGTCCTCGATTCTAACCAAACCAACTAATTGCACACCCCTACTTGCAGTGCAATTTCATTTGCACTAATGTAAATAAATGCATGGGAATGAAAATGATAACCATAAAAGTGCAAATTTTAATTTACCCCCATATTGTGGGATCAATGACAAATATTCCTTATACTTTCATTTGTGACAAAGACGGATGACTATTAAGTTAGTTGATAGAAGGCACTAAATTACCAAAATATCTTCATCGTAATTCAAGGAACATGAAATGAAAATTTAAAAATGATGAAAATTGGTAGTCATTCCCCCTATTGTCTATTTCTCATCCGTTTTTTATTTTCTTCCAAGCCTTAACTTGCACAAATATATAAAGAATCATTTGACAAGAACCCTAAGTGGTTCTTTGCCGGAAGTTGTTGCCACTATCTCACCGGCAAAAAGCTGTCTAGTAGGCTGTTGTTGAATATATAAGAACCTCCTGTGGTATCAAAAGAATCATTCGCATCTTTTATGCTATTGCCGGAAAAGAATATACATTTATCATTGGTGTCATAGAAGACTAGTATACATGTATGCCACACCAGCTATTTTAATCATATGAGAACTAATATTTTCATGAATTGTTGAGTTATCAAAGTGTAAGTGAAAAGGCAAAATCATCCAACTAAAATAATAAAAGGGTATTTTTTATATTTAAAAAGCTTTAGTCAAATGATAATATTTTCTGAAGTAAATTAATGGATTGCTAACGGAGGGGTTTTTGTCACAATGCAAAAATTCAAAGGTCTTTGTCGCAAGTGAAAGTACACAGGGTATTCGTCGTCACTAACCCATAATGGGGTCTTTGTAATTTACCCTCTTTTTATTGGTTGATGTTTAATGAATATCTATATAGATTTTAGATATGTTATTCTTTAAATGTTTAAGGGCCTGTTTGGCGTGTTTTTTTAGGAAGATCTTTTTGTAGCTTTTGCATGAAAATCTGAGCAGCCCGAAACATGTTTGGCAGATGCAGGTCTTTCTGTGCGTCTTTCCACCTGAGAATAAAATGCGAAAGACGCGAAAAACTTCATTTGGAGCTTCCCGAAATCAGCCCAAAATGAATTTTTCGCATCTTTTCGACATTCCGTCTTTTAACGGCTAAATATTTTGTACGCCAAACGGAAGTAGACCAAAAATCGGTTTTCCCAGCTTGTAAATAAACAAAAGACTATGCAAAAAGATGAACCAAACGCAGCCTAAGTTGGCCAGACAATATATGGCTTATTATCTTTTCATATTGGACCGGTGCAAATAAAATTGCATTGAGTGAAGACAAACCAGACCTAAAGCAAAATAATAGCTTCAAAAGCACGAAGACAAGATTCTTAGCAAGTCTTGACATGTAGAAATTATAGGCGTCCCTCACGTCTGGGTGGTGGGTCCTGGCCCAAACCAACTCTCAAGGTGAAGTTACCACTTATTATTATTATTATTATTATTATTATTATTATTATTATTATTTTTGAATAAGAGAGGATACGGAAATCCCAGCTCGACCTGCTGCTTTTGCCTTGAAATGCCTAAGTTGGGCTTGGGTTGGATCATCTAGGTTAGGATTGGATGTTAGTTGGCCTCTGAAACTGACCCGACCCAATCATTCATATTGATTTTCAGCACAAAAACTTTTTTTTTTTTTTTGAGACCAGAATGTCTGTTAAGGTAAACTTTCCCTCATATTTTCTATTTTGGATTCCCATATGGGTAGGGGTGAGCATTATTTGGTTAAAACCAAAATGCCTAATTGAAAATTTCAGTTTTGGTTTTTGGGTAATTTGGTTCGATTAATTCGGTTTTTAGAAATTTCGGTTTTCAGATTTAGAAATTCGGTTAACCGAAAAAACTGAATTAATTAAAATTCATTAATTAATATGTAATATATAATATACAATATATAACATTTAATATATAATATGCTATATATTTATATATTAATATATTATAATGAAATTAAATTTCATAATATATATATATATATATTATAAGTTATAATATATAATATTATATATATTAATTAAATTCAGTTTTTAACCGAAATAACTGAAAACTGAATCGAAAATTTCAACTCGGTTATTTCGGTTTTATTATAATTTGGTTTCGATTCAATTTTCATTTTTTTTATTTCGGTTTAAAAATTTTAATTTATTCAATTCGGTTTTTAACCGAATAATCCGAATGCTCACCCCTGGGGATCCAGATTAATTGGGTCCAAATATTGTGGACGTAGAACCTACCAATCAGGCCCAGTTATGCCCAATATCATTTTTTTATGGTATTATATATAGCAGTTTGCATAGGGGCTATTTTTTGGTAAAATGGTAAAATCTTGTGCTGGCAAGTGTGAGAATTCAAATTCAAGTCCACTTTGCATAGAAAAGAGTCAAAAGTTAGGACTATATCCAATCTATCCATCCCAAACATTGGGTAATGACCTTCTTAATCATTACATATTACACATTACGAGGGGACTACAGGTGGAGGTAAATCAGGGTGGAGATGCCAAGTGACTATCTCAACTACTGGGTCATCCACATCTAAGATCTAACCAATTGGATACCACATGTAGTACAAAGTGTATATCTTAGAAGCTGTTCTCCATAACGGCTGAAGTTGAAATTGGGTTGATTATCAATTAATGCGTTATTTAATATTGTTTAATTACTTTATCCACTTAAAAACAAATCAACAAGTCATTCAGTTCAACGACCATCCCTTTATTCTATCTCAGTTCATAGAAAAAAAATTCCTCAACTTTCTGTTTCTCTCATAGTTTCTATCAAACCAAACATTGGCTAAACGAATACTTGTTAATGCCTCCACTGCATGAGAGTCCATAATCTTTTGATAACTTTGAAAATTTTATACGCTTAAACATATCCATCCACCATAAAAAGGTATAGAACAAGGGTGGGAGCTCAGAATTTGAAGAGATGAAAGATCGGAAGATTTTAATAAATAACAACATGGTAATGGGGAGCTCATAATGCTTTGTAATTTCTGAAAATTTATGCACCAAGATGTGGCCAAAAGTGGAGTTAGAATGTAAAGAGAAGAGAGATAAGAAGATACTATAAATAATAGCATTAAATACAAACTTATGGAAGAACCGGCTATATATACTAATAAATAAATTGGAGTTTAATGTAATAATTTATTGATGGAAAAAAACACAGTAGGATTAGTCATTATACTACTACATGGAATGGGTAAAAGTGTGATTGAGAAATTAGAATACAGGTAATCAATTACATCTTACTGCTTTTATTTATGGTAATTAGAATTAGAAATAAGGTGGATGGGCAAAAGTATCATTGGGAAATCTGGATGCAGCTAATTGCATCCTGCTGCTTTTCTTATTCATGTTATGGTCTGGATGGTATTTGTTCTACATTTCTACTCACTCGTCTGTGTGATTTACATCATTTATACTCTTGCAGAATTGGAGTGGAAATGAAACCATTTCCATTTACACCAACGATCCAAACAAACAGAGCCTTAATGTTTCCCTACTCCAGTCTGTAATGTTCTAACACCTTGATAACCGAATGAATCAATAGTCCAAAATCATCAATGTTTCTACAAGGTATTAGCTACTGTGTATAAGTTGATCATCGATGCCATTGATGAAGATTTTTTGAAGCATATGTTTATAGATAAGTTTCCTATCATTCCAAATGACTCTGCATTCACATGGCACACTTGTAAGCTACAACTAGAGATTCTAAATCTAAGTAAGTAGTCATGAATTCATGATGATGAATGAATGCAAGTCATGACTCATAAGCATGTGAAATATAATTAATTTTTACTTAAGCAATGCCTATAAACTGTACTTACAAAAACCTTCAATTTCAGGCTGGTGCTATGGAAACTTTATCAACTTCCACAGTATATTCCAAGGTTGAAAATGGGGGTATCTGCACACCTGAGCCTAAGTCTGCACCCTTCTCTCCAAATCCCATACTAGGAGGAATGACCACTCTCCTTTTCCCACCAGCCTTCATAGACCTCAAGACATATTCTATCCCTTCACACATCCCCTTAGTGTATGGTCTTGAACCCATAACCAGGGCCAATGGTTTCTTGTCTCCACCAAATGTGTCGACGAACACTTCTCCACTGCCTTCAACATTCCCCTTAAGATCAATCACAACCAAGTCTCCCGGCCTCGGAGAAGCACCGCCCCCAACTCTCATCTCATAATACCTGATGTATACATAAACAAAAGAAGTGCCATAAAGCAAAAAGGACATCCTACATTTTATGCAGGTCAATGCACATTTCGACACAAAATGTACCTGATGCCATTAGGCAAAACCACCTCTTCTTCCTTCTCTACATCTCTGTAAAAGCAATAAAAGATGCATTTATTTGCACTGCACTTTAATAGCATAAAAGATCATAGGATACAGCTACAAAGTTTCCACACAGTTCCAAATTGGCCAAATTGGCCAAATTGTTCTTCTGTAAATTGAATGAAAAGGTTTCCCAATTTGAGGAATTAGGTAGCTATTTACCAGGCAAGAGTATAAGCATATCTTGCCTTCTGTTCAATTAATGTCTTTGCTCCATCTCTTAGATTCAAACGTCCAATATGGATGGACTGTAAACATAAATCAGAGATATGGCTTCCAGATCCAAATAACAAGATCTTTGGCTGTTTCAAGGTCTTCATCCATCCATTCATCCACTAAAGAAAGTCAAAATCAATGGACAGGAACCAGAGTAGGTGGAGTTAATTACCAACAGCCTATTTGTTATTGGATGGTTTAGAACACTGAATTTTGTTTACAGAACCAAAATTAGCCAAGAAATTTAGAGGTTGGGACACGGATCAGATCGAATTTGGGTTGTTTTAGAATTGGGATTCGCCAATCCAAGCCCAAAAGTGGGGACAGTATGCTACCCAGATCAAGAATTGGCAGCCCTTGTCAACCATACTTTGTTAGTGTCAATGAGAAGGTTAATACGATAGAATGTAGATAGTTTGGGAAGTTATCGACTCAAATTCAAAGAGAAAAGGCGAAAAAAAAATGAAGAGTTTGCTAAAAACTAATAAATCTGTGAACGATTATTCTATGTGTAGACCAAAAATTCTGTAAGTTTGATGATATAGAGACTAGAGAGTGCAACTTGAGAACAGACCTAGTGTTGGCTTCTTGCTGGGAGACTTCAAGGCGGGTTTTGATCTGCTCAGAGAGCACGCCAACAGCGAGGAAACCAGCCCATGCAAGGCCAGCACCAAGTCCGAACCGCCTGGTTAAGGTGGAAGCTATCCAGTCCGTCGACTCGGGGGTTGTAGCAGTGGCAGGTTTGCTGGGCTTTCGTTGCTCCACTTTCAGGGACCCTGGAGGCTGCTGCTCCTGTGACAAGGCTGTACGTGGAGGTGGGTTTGGAGGTTGCGGCGGAGTATTTGGTGGTGGCGGTGATTGTGAAGATGAAGAGAAGTGATGAATTCTTGTAATGGGGTGAGATAGAAAAGGTGGAGATGAAAAGAAAGTAGCCATTGAAGAAACAAATTCAGAATCAGAACAGGAGCCACCCAGCCAGCCACTGACCTAATGTAGATTGTTCTTGTTCAACTTCAACCCAGTGAGTGACAAGCGTCCCCACCTTATCCATATCTATCTTAAATTCTCGTTGTAACTTCGTACGATGCACCACTTGGCTTCAGAAGGGTATTATCGTCAAGTGATGCGCCTGTAATGACCAAATACCCCTTCTAAAAGGGTAACTGGATTTCGGCTCACACTCGCAGTTTCCTGAAGTGGGGAATACATACAACCGTTGGACTGGAATCCAGATTGGACAAGAGATTCCAGAACAACGGTCCCCACTCCTACGGGTCTTCCCCAAGTTCATTTTTTGCCGGGATGGACCGTTGGGGGAGGGCGAGGACTGGAAGGCAATCTCCTTAATGAATATCTATTCCGAGCTGAGAATAATTAATTAGTCTTTGAACAGTTCTTAGTTCATCCCATGTTCTCCAATCTGACCTTATGGCCTGATCTGGATTCTAAGACACTGCACCAAAACCAAGACAACTCAGAAGGAAGATAAATCAACCCAAACCTCGATTGAACAAATTTCCATTGATTACAATCAAATATACAATTTTGACAAGGACCCACAACTAAGCCAAGAATAAAAAAGTGAAAAACAAAGAACAAAGAAAAAAGAGAATTCTACAAGAATTCATTCTATCTTTCCAAAATGGAGTATGTCAATCACAATCTGGCCAATCACTTGCGTCGGCCCCCATATTGCAGGACAATCCTTGCCTTTGTCCTTTGACATTCACTGCTGAGTTGCCACATCAATCAGGCCATAGCTCAATTTAATTCCTACTCGACTCCTTCAGCCTGCTGGGTCTTATGTTCCCTGTGAGGGCTCTCCTTTCTCCTGGACACTGTTAATTGGTGCCCTTGGTCTTGGTACTTGTGAGCTTGTTACAGGCTTTTGCAATGGCTTCAGTGCTGCCATGATCTCTGAAAATGTAGGTCGTTTTTTAGGCTCCCTACAATGTTCAAAGAATGTTAAGAAATCTGTACCATTCAATAAATTTTTGTATGTGCAAAGTAAGGACAAGTACATTCCCCAATATAATGCAGAACATTACATCTCCCCAGTTACCAAGGAAAAGAAATCTAAGAAGCAATAAAAGCTATGAGAAACTTAGGCTAATTTTGAGTAAATGGCATGATCCTTAGTTCTATTCAACCCATATAGTTAGGACAAGGCTTAGATGATGATGATGATGAACATGAGCATGATCCTTAGTTCCAGTGAGAGATTCAAAATTCATTTAGCATTTCAAAGGAGTGGATGAAAGCAAAACGTAGGACCATAGTTTTCAAGGTGCCAAGGCGAGGCTGGGCGTCAAGGGGGTGCCTTGTCGCCTAGTCACCTAGGCGATGGATTTTTTTATATAGAAAACATAGATCCTAGGGTAGTTCCCTAGGTGCCATAGTCATATTTCCTTAATAATTATTCATAATTTTCATAATAAAAGTATAGAGTTCATGTTAAAGTATAGAAAATCAACATATTCATGAGAAGAAAAAAAAGGAAAAGAAAATTCAAAAAATATAGAGGCTGAACCCTTATTTTTGTTATAGTAGTAGTAGTAGAAAATGTGTTAAGTTCTTCCTTACTTATTGGTTCAGGTTTTAAAGTCTTTGAGGGTTTAATACAGCATTTAGCAATGTTTGTATTGATAAAATCTTAATAAATACGAAAATAATAAAAACAAATCAGTATATAAACACACAAAATGAATATTTTAATTTAATAGTGTCTATTTTACAATTATAATGTCAAAAAATAAAGAATAAAAAAGTATTTTACAATACATAGTACAAAACTGCTTGGCGATTAGGCAAGGTGAGCCTCAAAGAGCGCCTTGACAACTATGTGTAGGACATTTGGATACTTACGTTTGCCAGCACCTTTGAATGATATCAGCAACAATTGGATCCATATCATCAGGAATGTCAAGGCGGCGATGCTGAAACCCAACAGCCCCAACAACTTGCATTGGGTTCATTCCTCCCCATGGCTGTTGCAGTGTAGAGAGCTCCCATAATATGACACCAAAGCTATACACATCACACCTGCAAATTTTGGTTAACAGTCTTAGACTTCATACTCAAAATCTATGAAGGAAAAGTTCACTCAACTAGAAAAAAGCAAGCATAACATACTTTTCGTCAGAAGGTTCATTTCTTAACACTTCAGGAGCCATCCACTCAGCCTGAAAAACAGGAAGCACAAAGGAACTCATAAGCTCAGCATATTACAATTTAGGAACGTAATGAAGTCAATAATTATCATCATGAAAAAAGGGGTAGTAGACATTATAGAAATTTTGAATACAACATTACCCCTTTCATGCATGTCAAAGATCAAAGAGATAACCTTAATAACATAAATATAAATCCAATAAAGTAGACTACAAGAACTCCTGAAACTATAAATAATTCCTAGAAGTTAATGGAACAATGCATTTATGACTACATTTATTTCATTAATCCCATAATCTCTTCTGAATAGATAGTCTCCTAGTATGTATTGTTTCCTGATTTTCTTTCCTTTGCATCTTTCAGTTCAGTGTTAGGCACTGAAGCACAGAATAAGATCAGTGTTTTAAAAGGCATGGAAGGCATATGCCTGGAAGCGCACCCCCGGGCGAGGTGCCCCCAAAATGCCCTGAGGCGTATGCCAGAGGCGTTGATGCCTCTGAGGCATATGCCTTGTAAGCATAAGGCTTGGAGCATAAACATTGTAAGCATTCACATTTCAAATGAAATAAATAAATAGTACCTTTGTTGAATAATTTCATCAGAAAGATTAAAATACCTCCTCAATTTAATATATTTTACATCTAGTGATCTACACCTTTTTAGTTTTTATCACTTCATAATTATTCAAATTATGATTTGATATCCTTTGGACTCCATCTGTTAATTAAAATATGGACAAATGAATAGTATTTATTTACAATTCATGTTACTTTTAAAATGAGATTACTTTTCATTGTGTTCTCTTCAAGGGTAAATTGCAATTTTTGATAGCCCTAGGGATAAATGGGCATTTATGACAATAATGACAGTCACAAGGACACTTTACAGCCCCTAAGGATGGACATATAATTACAAAAGCCACCATTTCTTAAAACCCATGCTAGACACTTGGGATTTTCTTGTTTTCCAAATGGAAAAAAGAAAAAGGAGGCTGAGGCAATGGCACTACAGGTATTTTTTTCCCTTTTGGTCCATCTCTCTCACACATGTTCAGGAAGCAGATTCACTTTTCATTTTTTTTTCCTTTTTGTGTCCTCTCTAACCCAAGTACATGTGTGTCTGATGCATACACTTCATCTATGCCTTGATTGACAAAGTGTAAGCCTCACACCACTTAAGCACCTCATAATTGATAGCTGAGGGAGACTCCAATGTAGTGGGCTGGCTGACAAATTCAGAAAGTCTTTTGGGGTTACAGGGATCTTTTGAAGAAAGTTAACTGGCTGACAAGAAATATGGTAGTTAGGTTTCAGTGGGTCAGCAGATCGGCATATGGCTGATTCTCTGGCTAAACAAGGGGTATCAAGGGGTGATCTGTTTTGGGCTACTTTATAATTGTAATTCAGGCTAGTGTTTGTCTACTTGCTTAGTGCTCAGCTTCAAGGTGAGGTAACATCTTGTGCCTACTCTTAGGTTGATTGTACACTTTTTCTATAATTAATAAAATTCCACTGATTTATCAAAAAAAAAGTCTCAGCACATTTTGAAGATGTCTCATCTCAAGGTGTGCCTAGAAGCATATGCTTCATATACATCTAAAAACTGTTTGAGCTTTTGGGTCACATTCATGCAGGATTTAATAATCTTGATCCTAAAGCTATAAACTGCACACTGGGGAATCCCACAAAAAAAAATGTTAAATGTTACAATTCCATTCTCAAGCAAAAGACTTTGCCCATCTTTACATTTTGTCAGCAACCACCTTAATTCTTAATTTTTTTTTTTTTTTTGATCAGTACCACCATAACTTTTTTGAGAGAAGATGGTTCCACCATAACCTTATGAGGACAAGGCACCTATTCTTTTCAGTTTTAACTTTTAAGAAATTGGTGTTCCCCATAGTTTTGGGGAAGGAGAACACACCTAATACATACCCTTAACCCTAAGTACATCTCATTGAAAGCTGACTAATGCTCAACAAGATCCACTTTTTCAAGGTTACAGAAAATGTAAAAAACAAGGATAACCATTAACCTAGTCAAATTCAGCAACCCAACCACCTATCCATTTTATCTCTGAAGATCCAAATATTGTTACAGAGATCTTCCTATTGCCATAAAGAACAGTATGTTTTACATTTCTTCTCTTATTAAATATATCTCTCCTTTTATGTCTTTGAGAATTTTCTTTATCCTTGTCATATTTTATTGTTCCATAATCATCAAGTCATATCTCCCACATTGGATGGAGGAAAGCACCAGAAGAAGACATGGCCACACTTACATTATTGGAAGTCATAGATGGGAGAGAGGAAACTCACAAGTTGGGGAGTTTTTAAGTCAGACTTCAGTATTAGATAAATATGCGAGTAGAAAGGTGCTGAAATAAAAAATCTGTAAAAGAAAAGAATATTTCTTGAAAAAGAAGAGAAGAAAGGAGAAAAGGAAGAGAATGGATTTCAGAGAGAAAAGAGAGCAATAATGCTGGCCGCCCTCTTCACTATTATTTATTTGTTTAGTCTAAAATAATAAAGAGTACAAGGACCAATATGCCCTTATATGGCGGCTAACACATAAAACAGCATAAAACAATTAAAATAACTGCTCAAAAAGGACCCAACAAGAGTGCTGTGGTCCCCACTTCCTATCTAAACAATAAATAATCAAAAAGTACCACTATAGACTACACAATTTGTCTAAAACCTCAAAACTCCCCCTCAAGTTGGGAGTAAATGTCACATATTCCCAACTTGCGTAGATTGTACTCAAGCTTGTTCTTTGCAACCCCTTTAGTGAAGACATCAGCCAATTGTAGTTCAGAGGAGACATAAGGCAAGCAAACTTCTCCAATTGTCACCCTTTCTCTTATGAAGTGGCTATCAACCTCAATGTGTTTAGTCTTGTCATGCTGAATTGGATTGTGGGCAATATTGGTTGCAGCTTGGTTGTCACAATATAACATCATGGGCTCTTCAGCTTTTATTCCAATCTCACTTAGTAGAGATCTTACCCAGAGTAGTTCTGAAACACCATGAGCCATAGATCTATATTCAGCCTCTGCACTTGATCTAGCTACAACTGGTTGTTTTTTAATCTTCCATGAGACCAAGTTTCCTCCCACAAAGGTGCATACCCCTAATGTAGATCTCTTGTCATCTAAGCAACCTGCCCAATTTGCATCTGTTTAGGACTCCATCTTTAAATTTTCATGGTCTAAGAAAAGAATCCCTCTGCCAGGATGCTTCTTCAGGTATGCAAGTATCCTGTCAATGGCTTCCTAGTGTTGAACCCAAGGAGCATGCATATACTGCCTCACAACACTAACAACATAGGAGATGTCAGGACATAGTAGCAGGCCTACCATCCTCTGAAAAACCTTTGCTACAGGTGCAAAGGTTTCTGCATAATCAACTCCATACACTTGTGAAAAACCTTTTGCAACTAGCTGGGCCTTGTACCTCTCCACTGTGCCATTTGCCTTATGTTTCACAGAGAATACCCATTTGCACCCCACAGGTTCCTTTCCCTYWRGAAGATCTRCYARCTCCYAYGTGCCATTTTTGTGAAGGGCATTGATCTCCTCCTTCATTGCATTTGTCCACTCAAGAACAAGTAAAGCTTCTACAACACTCTTAGGAAGGGAAGTGCTGTCAATAGCAGAGAGGAAAGCACAGAAAGAGGGTGAAACATTCTCATAGGATAAGAGCCATTAGGTGGTGTGTGGTGCATGACACCTTTCCTCTTAGCAATAGGAAGATCCAGATCACAATATCAATGGGCACAGGGATGTTAATTGGAACAATAGTACCTGGATACAATGATGGATTCAACCCCTGAGAGTTCAATGGCACAGGTTGCACAGCTTCAGGATGCTCTGTGTTTGTTGAACTTTGTTGATCCCAGCCTTGACTTTTGTACTATTGTCTACGAAAGATCCGAAATGGAGGAGGGTCAGGAGGAGAAGGCAACAAAATCTGTCTCTATTTCTCCTCACTTGGACTCTCCCCCTGAGGAGGAGCAGGAAAGAAAGGCACATCTTTAAAGAAAGAAAAATCCATGGATACAAAGTACTTTTTGAAAATAGGGTCAAAGCAACGATAAGCTTTTAGGGAAAGGGGATAGCCAAGGAAAACACAAACAATGGCTATGGGATCTAGCTTCCACGGGTAGGAGATAGATCATGGACAAAATACTTTAGGAAACAATGGAGTTGTAGGGAAGATGAGCTGATGAGGGGGCTTGTACTCCAAGAGACGAGATGGCATTTGACTGATAAGATAAGTCGCAATCATAACAGTATCCACCCAGAACTTTTTGGGAACATTCATGTGTATCAGCAACCCTCGAGCAACCTCTAAGAGATGACGTTCTTTCTCTTTGCAACCCTATTCTGTTGAGGGGTTCCAGCACAAGAACTACGATGAATAGAGCCACAAGTTTCAAAAAATTCTATGAGGTCACCATGAAAATACTCTTTGGCATTGTCTAATTGGAAAGTTCAAATCTCTGCTTGAAATTATGTGTATACCATATGTTGGAAGGCTTTCACAAGTTCAGGAACTTCATCTCGAGAGTGCATAGGGTACACCCACGTATATCGAGAGAAGTCATCAATGAAAGATATGAAGTATTTGAGGCCATTCTCTGTTGGAATATTTACAGGTCCTCAAACATCAGAATACACAATGGAAAAAGAAACATCTAATCTTTTATTACGTAAAGAAAATGAAATTCTACAATGCTTGCTTAGCTGACACACTTAACACTGAAAATCATTAACCGACACAGACTTAAACAATTCTGGAAAAAGAAACATCCGGACTTTTATTATGTAAAGAAAATGAAGTTCTACAATGCTTGCTTGGATGATAAGAGTAAATTTTGGTGCACCCACTGCCAGAAGACACGACACATGAGAGATACATGTTGGGATCTCCATGGAAAACCTAAATGGGCGCAGGATTTGGGTAAGAAGTCAACACCTGATCAGGGCAAGAAACCAAGCCAGCAGA